ATATTGTTATTTATATTTAATAAAATAATAAAAAAATACTTATACAAAGTCAAGTATTTGTATTTGAGTTTAAATATTTGAATACTTTTTAGAAGGCATTTTTTTGAAATCTGTTGACAACACTGTTTCTGATTTGTTGAATTCTAATGATGAAATGTGTAGCAAGCGGTGGTAGTATGTAATATCATTGTTTGTTCGCGAAGACGTGACGGAAGGTATGAAGTGCGATCGTTCCGACTCTTTTGTGATAAAACTGCCAATTTTCTTCACAGAATTTGGTAAGAATAAATACTTTATTAGAGACAAATTATATATTTGTATCGTCAATGCTTAAATATCATTTTATTAATGTCTAGGTACATAACCGTGCACATAAAGTATTCTGTCCCTGTAAGTTAGGTTAGAGGCAACATTCAAACGCGTTTAGGTTTTGAAACGTTTTATCTGGGATTTTAGGTTTTAATATTTTATTTATAACTTACTTCTACTGAATTCTATTTGGGTTTCCGGTACCTTTACAGTTTATGATTGAGTTTTTTAAGTTTTATTTGCAATAATACCTATTTATTTAAAGAATATTACGGCTTAATAAATGTAAGATTTATTTAAAAAAGAAATAACTCACAATTACAAATTATGATTTACATTAAGTACTTATGAATTCTTACAGTATACAGTTTTAGCTATATACCTGCACTTGTATGATGAACATTTTTTAACTTTTGTAAAGACTTCTACAGTTACAAAATCGTTTGAAACTTTTTTTTATTACAAAAAAATATTGTTTCGTAAATAAAATTAATTTAATCGAATTTGGACAAATCAGTTGTTTTCGCTGCTTCCCGAGCTAGCATAGATGACATTTCATGGTTCTTTTTAGGTTTAACGTACGATTTGATGTAGAAGTCGAGAAAGAGGACGATCATGAAGACGTTCTGTGGTACAAACACCCATACGGTCCATTTGGGGTAAGTACAATTTGGTTGAAATAGTAATTGGCCGAAGTAGAGGATCATAATAAAAAATTGCACCTAAACAATAAAATTGTGGTAAAAATAATTCTGTTCGACTTATAAATTATAAAATCTATACATTGGTACATAGATCTATCAAATATGTCTAAGAGGTAGATAGGTCACATCTTATAGATCTACACATCTATATCACTATACATCTATAGGTACACAGGAAATAACTATTATTTTATGATCATAAGAGTATTTGTGGGCTGAGTTGTGTGAAATAAAGCACAAAAATAAGCCAAACCTTCGAATTTTTGTGCAGTAAGTAAGAGATCAATCCATCGTCATACGAAAAAATCAGTCTAATAAGAGAATTGCAAATTTGTTATAAAAAGAATTTGCAACTCGGTCAGTAATGATAGAAAAGTCCAATTTTGTTACTCGGGGTTTTTGAGCGTTGCTGAATACGAATATGCAGTTGGTGACGGTCCCGAGTAGGGTTGCCACCCGTACTTTATTATAAAGTATTGTACCTACTCTATTTCGACTATGCATACGTTATACTTTACAAGACACATAAAGTACGCAAAAATACTTTATTTAAAGCCTTAAGTAAATATCGTATTTTGTAAGCGATTATTCTATTTATATTCAGAGTATTTTTACATCAATAATATTGCACAGAAAAATGGCGAGCCATATTTACGGAACAACCTGATTTCCCAAATCTGTTCAAAGTAGTGTCACCTTTGCTATCCGTTGCGGCCACTTCAGCATTTACAGAAAGAGTATTCTCTGTTATGAATGCAAAGTGACGGGACGACAGGAATAAAGCTTCATTAAAACTAATTAAAAATGAACTTTTAGTTTGCTTAAATCTTTGTTTGCCATGTTTAGAGACTGTTAATGTATTTAAGAGCGACAGCAATTTGTTACTGGCTGCTAGGTAAGGTAAGGTAGGTTGCAATACAAAAGTTGATGTTAGGTATTACTTAATAATTTTTTACAAAAAAAGTAGCTTTGACAAATAAAATACAGTTATAAAGTAAATGAATTTGGCGCTCCCCGTCATAAAAATTTTGACTCTTCATTAATATTTAAATACATTTATTGGAAAACTGAAAAAGAAATTTTACTTCAAATATATATCTATCTAGCGAATACCTATTTTTCAGATATTTTAACCAATTTCTGAAAACAAAAACCACGTTTCGTTTATGAAAAAATAATTCAGTTGCTCACTGCCAAACAACTGTCTGGTTCATGGTACAAAACGTGAAAAAGAAAATACTACCGTCGCGTTTTGTGTCAAATTAAACGAAAATGCACGCCAAACGTTGGAAACGGTAAGCGCGATATGCAGATTCGCCATGGATTAAAGTCACTACTAAAATTAAAGTTATACACAGTGTTCAAAAAAACAATTTTAAGAAACATTTTGGAAGTAGTCATTGCCTGTCTTCCAACTAAACTGTATAGATCGCTATCTCCCTTCATAATAGAATTTTTTACCTACTCAAAAGATGGATCTAACAAACACGCCTACATTATGTATCAACGATGTTATCATTTGATCGCAGCTTTTAATCAAAATACGTAAATTTTGATGTTTCCGGGGTGGCATTAAACAATTGCTAAGAAGTTGGCGGGATCGAATGTCGTTATACGGTGTATAATTGGTTGCTTACACGTTATAAAATTATTGAATTATTAAAGGGTTACCCCTTAAATAAAATGAAAGTGGTACTAACAAAGTAATATTATAAGAAAATAAATTAAAGTAAAACCAAAATACTGGAATGCAAGGGAAGAAAAAGTAGGGAAAGAGCGAAAATAAAGATAAGAAACTCAAGATTGAAAGAAGTGACAGATTTTCGGTACTCAAGATGGAAAAAAAAATTCTATGCTTGCGAAAGGTTACTTTTGAAATTCAAAAAAGATTGTTATTTTTGGAACACGGCACTGTACGGGTGCGAAACTTGTACGGCATGCGCGAGGGAAAAAAAAGGTTAGAAACGTTCGAAATGCGGTGTTATAGGCGTATGATGAGTATACCGGGGATAGAAAGGGTTAGAAATGAGGTGTTAGGAAGAGTAGGAGAACAGAGGGCGCTGTGGAAGACAATAAGAAATAGACGAGATAGGTTGATAGGACACCTTCTCAGGCATGAAGGTGTAGTCAGAGACATATTAGAGGCAAAAACAGGAGCAAAGAGAAGGAGAGGTAGACCTAGATTACTGTTTACAAATAGTTGAGGATGTGGGATGTTCTAGTTTTAGGGATATGCCAAGATTAGCTCAGGATAGGAAAGAGGGGAGTTCAACCAGTTTAAGCTTGTAGTAGGAACGGTTTTTCTTAATGGCAAATGTGAAGTGTTGACAGTTAATAAGAGAGTTATATTGTATGATCCCCTATCCATGAGGGTTTAGGTTTTCAGTTGCATAGGTTGGTTTCAAATATATGGGATTTAAATTAACACCTTCACCGATTTTCTGTATGGAGTCCTCTGGAGTGCTAGTCTTAAAAGTATAATTGAAATCATCCTCCGCACACAAATACTGAAACTTTCTTCATGGACAGGGGATCAAAAAATATGATACCACCTGGAGACATCTATGAATTTCATTTGTTTTTCTACCTTCATCAAGGACGGGACATGGAATACTATTGGGTTGTTCGGAAAGTCATTTCGTTTTTTCCCGACACAGGATTTAATTGTATTCTTTTGCACCCAACTTCACATTTAAGCCGTATAATTTTTATATGCTTTGAGAGCTCATATAGCAAGGNAGGAGAACAAACACGAAAATATCTCAATTTCTGAAAAATAAATTGTTCAGAATAAAAACACAAATGGTTAGATGGCTGGGACACATAAGGGAGCATGAGGAAAATGTGAGAGCTATAACTGAATGGAACCCAGGAAGTAAAAAGGCAAAACGAAATGACTTTCCGAACAACCCTATATCTTAATTATAAGAGCAAAGCGAGGGTAATCCAGCTTGTCATATACTAAAATCTCCCACTACAAGTGCATGCATAAAGTTGGATGCTTAATGTAGTACATTATAGTTAAAGTAGCCACTGCCCTTGAAATAAATAAAATTCTGATAAGCACGGGAATGCCTACTCTTACTTGCAGCTCTTATACACTAAGGTTCTTATCATTTAAGAATACTCACGATTTGCATCTGAGTTAAATACTTTTTCCACCATAAACTTTTTTTGTATTCCTTATTCCATGCGCTCAACAGATAGTAGAAGTACATTACAACGTGAACGATTGAATTAAGGAAACCAACGAAAACTCCGTGTCCGCCGGCTATGTACTTGGTGCCCGCCCAACCCAGCAGTACCATTCCTGTGTGGTGGTATACGTGTAGAAACGAGATCTGATTGTTCTTTTTTCGTAAGACAAAAAATACCTGAAAAACAACGATTTTTACCTACTGAAATTAATAGTTGTTGTATCATATCGTGACGCATTAATAGCAGTGCAGTATTATAATTATGGAGCTGGTCAATTTTTGAAAACTTCAATTTTTATATTTTTTTACTACTGTTAAAAATTCTAAAATTAAAGGCTGGCGCACACGAGAGGTTTTTGAACCGCCTGGCCGCGAAGATAAATACACCTGAGCGCACTAGCTGTTGTTTAACCTCAACGATTTTAAAACGCATATGTTCTATTTATGCAGTGGCACAGTCACCGTTACTTAATTTCTCATTGTCCATTCTCCTTGAAAAGTCAGATTTTCTTTTAAATATAAATTTTATTTACAAAGTTTTGTTGAAATCACTCTGTTATTTTGGTAATATAATGTAGAAATTCCTAACAGAAAAAGTTTAATAACCATTTGAATACACGGTTTTGATACGTTGATAGGGATATTGAGAAAAATTAGGAGGCGCGTTTGTTTTATAAAAAATGACAGAAAAGTAAAAGTTTAATACCTAATCAAGACGACACAAAAATATAATAGTGTTTTTTTTTTGTAAATTATTAAAAGTGTAAACTTCAATAAATTCCGAATGTGATGTCTCTAATTAAAGATAATCACTATTTATTTAACGATGAAATTAGCTGTAAAATAATTGGTTGGTTAGTTGGTACTGTCTCAGCGAGACAGCTTGGTAACTCTACTAAAAAAATACTGAGTAACTGGTAAAATCTGGTACTCCTTTGCTACGATCACAAAATGTTGTAATGGGGGTAAAATTCTTAGAATCTTTGTCGTTAAAAATACATTCAAACTGAGAGTTCAAATGGTCATAAAATCAGATAAAAAATGTTATTTTGTTTGGCTTAAAGAACGTATTTCTGTTTACTTAAAAAATAAAACAGGAAAAAATCGGAGTATTTAAAAATAAATATGATGTTCAATTTTCCTTACTACTACATTCATGAATTAAATTATAATATATAGAAAAAGGTAAAGTGCTACCGAACAAATGATGTATTGGAATCGTAATGTCCCTTGAAATCAAATATAAGATTAATCTCAACATTTTATGGATTTTTTGAAAAATGGGTAAATTCCTGTTAACAAAGCTGACATAATTAAAATGTTTGCTTTAAAGCAAATCAAAAAAAGAATGTTTTAGTTTGTTATAAATTTTGTAGTTGCCAATTTACAATTACGTTTTCCGTTACGTTTATAACGATTTTGCAGTTATATATAGTATGATAAATGGAAAATCGCATTTCTATGTATTTTGCAAAATTGATATGATTATTTTTCGAATACACGTGGAATAATAGTCAGTCACGTACAAAATACCGCGTAAGCGCATTCCATGAATTTTTAAATTTCCTGTTTTTAATTTACGTAGATAAAGACGGGTCAAACGGTTGAAACGTTATTTTCATTTAAGAGTAGGAAAATAAAATGTTAAATTTGATTGGATGAAGAAGAATCACATAATGACAAAGCACAGTTTTAATTAGATAACAAACGCCGTTTTGTTTTAATGAATATTTGCTCTATTAACTACTCATTATAATTCAGTAGAGCTACACTAATCGCAAATAATAATAGACTAATGAGAGTTGGCAGCGAGATTTAAACGTCATTCGGAAGATGGACAAATAAAAGCTTACGCTAACACATCCGGATGATAGGGAGGGAGGGGGTTACATTTCTGTACAGAGGGTGGTGAAAGCGCCCTATTTTTTTTAAATTACGTCATCGAGGTAGTGGTTAAAAATATACGGACACGTGAGTTGTAACAAAAAGAGTAAAGTAGACAAAAATTATTGCAAAAAACATGAAATATGATAAAAAGATGCATAAAAAAGTTACCGAACCTTTCAAAGGTAGGTGCCGGATTGAAATTATTAAAATAACATTTTTGTGTCCGAATGGCAGGTTATATGTCATTAACAAGAAAGTTGCAAAATCAAAAACTCGTTTTGAAAACACTTTTGCTAGACTAATTGGCCAAAAGTGAGCACCTTTTGAAGTAAAAAGTCGACAATTTCAAAGATGAATACGTATCTCAGCTTCTATTAAACCTTTTTTAAAAAAAAATCGGTTGTACTTGCAGTTTAACTTGATTTTGAAACAAGGTGACTTTTCTTTCTCATCCTGGAGTTTTTTATGCATGGAAATATCACTATGAAAAGTTGCCTTATTAAAAATCATACTAATTTAATGTAAAGTAGCCGAATATTTAATAAGAAGGAGAACAAACACGAAAATATCTCAATTTCTGAAAAATAAATTGTTCAGAATAAAAACACAAATGGTTAGATGGCTGGGACACATAAGGGAGCATGAGGAAAATGTGAGAGCTATAACTGAATGGAACCCAGGAAGTAAAAAGGCAAGAGAAAGACATTGAAGAATATGGTTAAATTAGGTAGAAGAGGACTTAAGAAGAGTGAACATTAAGAATTGGAAATAAATAATGACAGATACAAAGAAATGGAAAGAAGTAGTAAAGAAGAGAAAAGAAAGGCAAAACCCCGCCATATAATATAATCTCGTAGCTTAGTGGTCAAAGCATTGGCGCGTGAAGCCAAAGAGCCCGGGTTCGATTCCCGGCGTGGGTGTGACAACAGCAACAAATTTTTCCTCATTAATTTGAGGAAGTGTGTAGTGGGTAAAAATTCA